CTTCTCCTTCTCTCCCTCTCCCTTCCCACCTTCTCCCTTCCTTCTCTCCTTTCCTTCTTTCCTTCCTCATTTCTTCCCTGGCTCCCTTCTTTTTTTTTTTCCTTTCTTTCTTTTTCTGTGACACTGGGCCTCAAACAGGCTAGCACTCTACCACTTGTGCCACATTCCTAGTCCACTTTTGTTTTTAGTTTGTTTTTCACATAGTGTCTTGCACGAACTTTATCCCAGCTAGCCTCAAACTGCAGTCCTCCTGTCTCCCCTCCTGAGTAGCTGGGGTCATAGGCAAATACTGCCATGATTAATCTTTCAAGGGCAGATGCCCCCAGCACTTGTATTGAATTACCTGGAATTTTTGTTCACACTGTTGCTTGAGCCCAAGCAGGCATAAGAACTAAAATTTTTAATGGTGTGATTAGTGAGTTAAATAGGACCTATATAATCCTTAAACAATATTAAAATTTCAGAATAGTGAGTCCTGGATAAGGAGACTACAGGTGAGTGTAGAGGTAAATTTGTTAGTGGACTTAAAGGATTTTGCCTGCAGAATGTGAGGAAAAAGACAAAAGCTATCCTTTGATGGCCCTCACCATTTCTGTGGTAACAGAAGGTGCATCACCTGTTTTAGCCCCACTTCTTTACCACCAATCCAACACTGTGTCCATACCCTCATAATCCAGAAGGGTTACAGGTGCCCAAAGGGAAGATGCAAGAAGGGGCCTTCAGACAATCGCCTTACACGTCCCAAAGCCAGTGTCCAGAGAGACCCCATTGTCCATGCAGTCCACAGCATCCATATAGTGCTTCACCATTTTCACTTTTGTTTACTGTCCTCTGAGCACTTATCATAGAGCAAGAGCTCAATAAACACATAGTAAAGGCAGAAGATCCAAGAGGCTCTTAACTGCTTAAATTACAAAGGATCAAAACTCCCACTGGTTTGACTTGGGATTTTTGTTGTTGTTGTTTTATGATAGTATAAAATCAATACATAGTTGGAACCCCATTTTGAGTTTTGATCTTTCTTGGGCTAGCAATATGCAGTAAGAACCTCTTTATTGGCCATGATGGGAAGCAACACAAAGCTACAGCTTCTGGCCAGCCACACTATCACATTGAGAACTGACTGATAATCTACATTGTACTGTATTGCTACACTGATGTTCAAGTTCTATGTACTAATGCCTATTTTTGGTCAGTTATCGGGCTTGAACTCTGGGCCTGGGTGCTGTCCCTCAGCTCTTCAGCTCAAGGCTAGTGCTCTACCACTTGAGCCACAGTACCACTTCTAGTTTTCTGGTGGTTAATTGGAGATGAGTCTCACAGACTTTCCTGCCTGGCCTGGCTGCTTCGAACCACAATCCTCAGATCTCAGCCTCCTGAGTAGCTAGGATTATAGGCATGCACCACTGGCACCCAGCATTAATGCATTTTTGGGTTGCAAAATTGTCAGTTCAACAGTGGGTTCATTGGGACATGATCCAATTGTAAGTCGAGTATCATCTGTATATGGTTATGAAGAGCAGCAGGACATCTGGGGATTCCTCTGGCCTTTCCCTCCCTTTCTTGGCAGATGGGAATCAGGGAAGAAAGCATCAGAGGCATTTACCACATGCTCCAGTCCCCTTCCCTCAGGATGGTACGCACTTCTCCCCTCCAGGGCCTGTAGATATCCTTCCAAATGTCTGAGTCCTAGAGAGCCTCAGCACCCTTAGTTTGATGTAAGCCTTCCCAGAACATGGAGCAGCTATCTCAGGAACTGATCAAGGGAACTTGGGGGAAGCAACTGGTCTGACCACGGAAGGCCAACAGCAGCTCCCGGGAGGGAGGCCAGGACTCAAGAGCCCACTGGAGCCCTTTGAAGGCCCTGCTGCTGGGAAGGGGGGATGACTTGCATGGCAGTCCAATTTTTCCGAAAGCGTTCTCACAAAATGTTCTGCATCATAGGTTAATGTATAAGACAGGAGTGGTAAGTGGAAAGTTGGCAGAGCCCTCTGGAAACTGGCTAAAGGGCAGGAAACAAAGGGTAGCAATAAAAACCTAAAAGGATGTTAATTGAAGAGTGCCTCAGGGAATGGGGTTGCTACTAGCTTTTTATTATTTACATAAAAATTACGTGGAAAATGGTATTGAAAGGGATTTTCATGTTAGCTAATGAAACTGCATTAGTGAGCTGTGAGTGGAAATGTGAAGAGAACTAAGGAAGGATTCCATTTATCGATGGGATTGAAGAGTAGCATTTTCCAACAGGTTTGTATGAGTCCATATGGTTCTGTGGGCCAGATTTCCATTTGAGTCCTGGGCAGGACAGTGCCAGCCTGAGGCACTCAACCTCTCCTATTTCTTGGGTCAGCAGAAAACATTTCAGAGATTTTGAATCTCTACTCACAGGACAGATCCTAAAATTAACTGGATGTTTTCATCAGACCTGAAACTCCTCTTTTGGAAAGGCCTTACTCCATCACTTAAGCTACACCCTCAGTCCTTTAGGGTTTTTTTTTCAATTAGGATGTCTCATTTTTTGCTTCCAGCCAGCCTCAAGCCTCCATGCCTCCTGTCTCTACCTCCCACTCAGCTAGAATTACAAGCATTACAGGCTGGTACCACCACACTTGCATAGCCCCAGAATTCTTTTAGAAGGCCCCCAAAATGAGCAGAATCTTCTATTTTGCTTCAAATGTAAGATTATGCTACCTGACATCCATCTCCCTAACTCCTTTTTCTGAATATTCACTGAAGGTCTAGGTATCACAGAAATTTCTAATAACTACACCTCAATAAGGAGCTGGCAGTCAGGGGACTGGGAAGGTGGCTCAGTGGTAGAGCGCTTGCCTTGCATGCATGAGGCCCTTGGTTTGATTCCTCAGTACCACATAAACAAAAAAGGAAAAAAAAAAGTCGGAAGTGGCACTGTGGTTCAAGTGGTAGAGCGCTAGCCTTAAGCTGAAGAGCTGAGGGACAGCGTCCAGGCCCAGAGTTCAGGGCCCACGACCGGACCCCTCCCCCCCCCCCCCAAAAAAAGAAGCTGGCAGTCTTTTCTTAAACAGTTATTAAACAACTGGAAATAATAATACAACGTGCCAGGACTTGAAAGTTGGAATGCCAGGAGTGACTTTCGCTGTCTTTTCCATAGCCCTAGGGAATGGTCTATGTGGTTTCAAGAGTCCACAAGGCTCTCCATTTCCTTCTTTTGCAAACTTGACCCAGTAGAAACCTCTATAGCTTTCTAGAGTACAATCCATTGACCTGCAGCATTGACATCAAACCTCACCTCAGAACTGATTGAAATCCACATGGTAATAGGATTCCCAGTTGCAGATGTGCATAATATGCACACTTAGAAAGCACTGCTCCCATACCCAGCTGCCACCAGAAATAAGGCAAAGAGGCTTTGGTTGCTTCCCATCAAGGGAAAGTCAGACATTGTTTAGTATCTTCTGAATAGAATTCTGGCATTGGGAACTTGCCTGTCTGCTAGAAAGTCCCTCTTGCTTTGTCTGTCTCCATACCAGCTGTTTGGCTCGTGAGACTCAGCCTTCTCCAGAATGTAAGCATAGCCTTAATTGAGAAGATGATGTTAAAAAGCAGTGCTATACATCTCTGAGTGCTCTTCCTCTGGGTGTCGTTCATGTACTGGGCCATTAGCTAATTGTTACCACAGGCACTTGGTGGCTATTTTTCTTTTGAGCTCATTTACCAAGAATCTGGAGACTAGGCATTTGCTGTTTTCTGCCTCTTGCCTCTGGGTTCTATAAACCGTTAATCCTTAGGTCCAGCCCCACATAAGGTGTCATGGCCTGGGGAAACCTATCTAAAATATAGGAAGCTTGTCTTCCAAATAACTGGATTTGAACAGTCAATAGCCCTCTTAGAATTTGAGTGTCTCTTAATCTGAGATGACCAAAGGCCAACTATGTGATAGGACATCGAAGCAGCACCTTATGTTGCTTTTTTTTTACTCTTTTTCTTTTTTTCCTAGTGGTACAGTGGTTTGAACTCCAGGCCTGCTGGCTAAGCACGTGCTCTAAGTAGCTCCAATTCTATTTTCTGCTAGTAAGTTTTGAGAACGGCTTTCCTTCCTACCCTAGGTTCATGCCTGGACTTGTCTTGGTCTTGTTAGTCTTTCCCATCATTAGGATAACAGTCATGTGCCACCGAGAAAGTATCTTGTGAACTTCTCTATCCAGGCCAGCTTCCAACCATAAGCCCAATGATTTCAGCTTCACAAGCTATGAGCCACAAGCGCCCAATTGTGAGATTGACTTTTAGTCTTAGTTTGTTAGAGATACTCAATTCTTTTTTGCAAAGGGCTGGGTGGACACTGAAAATTCAAGTCATTCAAGGTTCTAGAGGTGAGGAGAGACTTAGAAGTTTGTCCAGACAAAAACACACTTTGGAGATTAAGACTGAGCATGTGTTCTTTGAAACTTCTGTTGAGGGTCAGACCCCCATCCTTATGTGGGAAGAGTTTGGTCCCTTGAATCTCAGAGCAAGAATGAGTGCATTAAGTAAAGTGCGTCTCCTTCATCCTAGACAACTACTTGCAAAGCTGTTACTAAAGTCCAGCTTTGTTTCTCCCACAGACTGAGAGATCACCTGCAGCAAGGAGGTTTACAATTCATCTTTGTATTCATAGCAGTTGGCATAGGGTAGGGCCTTAGTGGCTGTTGAATGATCCCTTAGCTAGCACAAGATCCACTAGTAAGACATCATTTGATCTATATTTCAAACATTAAAATTTCAGCTAAATTCTTTCTTATCAGTGATTAAGCCCTCTTGTTAGCCTCATTTATAATTGTGATTGCTCCCATGTGTCTATATAGCAAGTCTTCAAAGCAGGCTGTTCCTAGTCACGAAGCTTGCAGTATAATCAGGTACCTTACAGTAGTACATCCTTGATGACCTCTAGGCTGGACAGAAAATATGGAAAGAGGAATTAGAAGTCAACTTATAGTGGACAAAACTTAATGTTTCTGAAGTAGTAATGTTCTTGTTCTTTTCAGGTGAGAGTCTATGATCTCACCAAATATGATCATGGAGCAGATGATGTACTGATACTGGCCACTGATGGACTCTGGGATGTTTTATCAAATGAAGAAGTAGCAGAAGCAATCACTCAGTTTCTTCCTAATTGTGATCCAGATGACCCTCACAGGTATGTGCATTTCTGTGACTGTAGGGTTATTTTTTAAGTACTCTTGCATGATAAATGAAATCAATAATCCCGTGTAATTTCCTCATTTATGTTTTATAAGAGTCCAGTATAGAGTATTCAATAACCAAACTGCAAAAAACACTACATACTTTATTAGAAGTATTTTCTTGATCAAATATAAATCCTCCTTAAGCCATGACTTATACCTGTAATCCTAGCTACTTGGCAGGCTAAGGAAAAAAATGTTAATAGATCAAGACAAGCCCAGGCAGAAAAGTTTACAAGACCCCTTCTCAATCCAGAGCTGGGCACAGTGACACATGTCTGTTATTCCAAGTTAGATGAAAAGTCAGAGATTGGAAGCTTCATGGTTCCAGGATAGAAAAGTCCACAATAAGCCGGGCGCCAGTGGCTCACGCCTGTAATTCTAGCTACTCAGGAGGCTGGAATCTGAGGATTGCGGTTCAAAGCCAGCCTGGGCAAGAAAGTCTGTAAGACTCTTATCTCCAATAAACCACTCAGAAAAACAGAAGTAGCACTGTGGCTCAAGTGGTGGAGCACTCGCCTTAAGCTGAAGAGCTGAGGGGCAGCGCCCAAGCCCAGAGTTCAAGCCCCACAACCAACAAAAAGAAAGAAACAAACAAACTAACTAACTAACTAACTAATGGGTCTGGTGATGCTAACCTGTCATCCTAGCAATGAGAAGCCTAAAACAGGTGGATAGCAGTTCAGGTGTATGCCCAGACAAGTAGCAAGACCCTATCTAAAACATAACCAGTACAAAAAAGAGCTGGAGGATTGGCTGAGCAGTTGAGCTCTGGCCTACCAAGCAAGTTCTAAGTTAAAACTCTAGTGGCACAAATATATATGTGCATATATATATATGTATATATATATATATATATATATAAAATCTTCCTTAAGTTGAACCAAGATATAAATTTACCATTCATTTACCATTGTATCTTTCTCACATTTTTATTTTATAACATCCAAAAAAATGTAAACATAATCCCAATTTGATTCTGCTGATAGGAATAATGAAAAATTCTTCCTAGCACTGAGTCTTAGTCACTGGAGGATTGTTTCTTTTGAGAAATACTGAATAGAAAGAGAAAGTAAAGTAGGCTTTCCTAATATGATGGTAGTATAAAGATCTTAACCAATGCTAGAAGACTGTCATAAATAAACAGAAATATGAAATGTTTTAAGGAACGAGAATGGGATAGGAGAGAATGATGGGAGGGGTGAATTTGATCAGGATATATTCTTTACCTGTGTGGAAAAGTCACAATGAAACACTAATACATATGAATTTTAAAAATTATTTTAAAGAATAAATAGACCAGAGTCAAGCCCCATGACCAGCCAAAAATAAATAAATAAAATAATAAATAGAAATTATCTCTACAGAAAGGTAGCTCTGAGAGGAAATAAGGCAGCAGAAATAATAGAGACAGTAGAGCTAGACCAACAAATACTTCCTTCTTGTGTTCATTGGTCAAAAATATAAAATATTCTAACATTCTTTGTAATTGTTCTTTTTGGAGGGTTTGAACTCAGGGAATCACACTTGCTAGGCCAGTAATCTGCTTTAGAAATTATTAAGACTATTAAAGAATAAGCAAGGACAAGAAGCTATAAAAATGACTGCAGATTTTTTTTAAATAAGGAAATGTAATGTTTAGAGAGTAAAAATATAGCACAGTGGCATGTGATTATTTAGTATTAATACTAAGAGATTAAAGCAGGAAAATCAAGAGTTTGAAGCCAACCTAGGCTACCTAGTGAAATCTTGTCTAAAAAAGTGGGAAGGAAAATACCTTAAGTGTATTTAATGGGAATTAAACATTCAGTGATTGAGCAGATTGAAGAAAACATTGGTGAACTAGAAAATTGGTTTGAATACAATGGTCGATAGGAAATTTACTCATTACCTTGCTCATGTAACTGTAACCCCTCTGTACAGTGCTTTTACAATAAAAAATATTTTAAAAAGAATATTGGTTTGAATAAATAAGCTAGAATATGACTCTGAAAGGGTGAAGGGAATGTGAAGTGACATTAAGAGATAAGGGTGACCTAAGATGTTCTACATGGAATTGCAGGAAATACTATAGAAGATGGGAAGAAAATCTTCCATAATTCCTAAATGATACTAAACCTATGATCCAGAAAGCCCAACAAATCTCAGGTAGAAGAAATAAAAAGAAAATTATAAATAGGTACATCTTAATGAAACTGTACACTTTTAAAGCCTCTCCCTCTCTGAAATATTAAAAAACAGCCAGCAAGAAAAGATAATCCCAATGGTATTAACATTTAAACTGACAGCTAGCTTTTCAAAACCAACAACAGAAGCCAAAGCAACATAAAATGATGATATCTCTTCAGTTGGCTAAGAATAAAGCTGTCAATCTAGAACTTTTTCACATGGAGTAAAACTATCAAAAAAGAAGTAGGGTAAAGAAGTTTTCAGGTTTAACAAAAACATTTTACTGCCAACCAATCTCTAAAGGAAATTTAAGGGATATACTCACATAAGGAAATGATCCTAAATGTAAACACTGAGAAGTAAAATGGACTATAAACTCAAGCCTGAGTAAATAGGTGGTATACTTAATCATACATTGGCTATATAAAATAGTAATAGGAATGTCTACTATATGGGATGAAAAATGATAGAGCTAAATTACTGGATAAAAGTAGCATGTAATTAATAAAGGGTTAGTAATCAGCTTCCATGTGAGAGCTGGTTAAAGGAATTTATCTTTTAAATTGCTAAAGAAACTACTAAAATAATAGAAAGAATAATTTCCCAAGTAGTAGCTTCTGGACACCTTATAAATCAAGAGTGGCAATTATAGTGGAAATTAGATACTAGTTGTTAAAATTTTAAAGGCAGAATTTGAATCTTCTTTTTTAAAGTAAGCCCAGATCAAGACTCACTCACCTCTGACCCCCCTTTCCTCTGTCTCGAGGTAACATTATCTAAAACTTCCCCTGAGTCATGAGAATCTACAGTCAGAAGCTCCTGATTCCTGACCACAGAAAAAGAAACCGATAAGAACAGAAATATGTGTTTTGGAATAAGCTCTTGAAGGCTTACTGTTGAGTTCTGTCTTTATTCTCCACATAAACATGTATAAAAGAATTCTTTTTAAGGAACTGGCACTGTGGCTCAAATGGTTGAGCTGAAGAGCCGAGGGACAGCCCCATGACCGACAAAAAAAAAAAAATAAAAATTCAAAACAGGCCAAGGTATGTGGCTCAAATGGCAGAGTGCCTGTGTACGTAGCAGACATAAAACACTGATTTCAAATACCCTAGTATAGAAAAAAATCAAAACAAAACAAAAACAAAAAAAGGTGACTTGCATGCATGAGGCCCTGGGTTCGATTCCTCAGCAGCACATAAGCAAAAAGGAAAAAAAAAAAGCCAAAAGTGGTACTGGGGCTCAAATGGTAGAGCACTAGCCTTGAGCTGAAGAGCTGAGGGACAGCGCCCAGGCCCAGAGTTCAGGCCCCATGACCAACAAAAAAAAAATAATTCTTTTAAAATATAATTTACAAAAGAATTATTACAACTTCAAGGCTCTAAGGAGCCAAAGTATGTTTAACTATAGGCCGTGTGTTTTTTTCCTGGTTTCAGACTACAACTAAATAACTATCTTAATTTAAAATTCTAAGTCTGTAGTCTAGCTTAGTTACAACATCTAATAAAAGAAATAAAAAAAGCAGAATGAACTCAGGAAAAGTCATGAGTCATGGGAGGAAAAAGGAAAGACAAAATGGAAAAGAAAACATATAAAAGGTGGATTATAAACCCAAAACAATATTTTTTTTTGCAAACCATAAGAGACCCCACTTCACAGTATGTAAATGGATTAAGGCACTCACAACAAGACAGACAGTCTGATTCCATTTCTCTGAGGGCCTTGAGTAGTCAAATTCTTAAGAGGCAGAAAGCAGAAATGGTTGCAAATGGTTGGAAAGAGAAAAAAGTAGAGTTAGTGTTGGAGTTTCAGTTGGAAAAGTGAAAAGCTACAGCCAAGGGATCATGGCAATGATTGCAAAACAACATGAGCGTATTTAAATAACACTGTAATATGCACTTTATTAATTTTAAAATAGTTAGTATGGTAAATTTTATGCTATGTTTGTTTTACCACGCTACAAAAAAAAACTATTAAAAGGGAATTAAAAGTGTAACAAAATAGATTTTTCTGAAAGATTAATAAAAATGGGGGACAATATATATTAATATTAGAAAAATAGTACTTATGCATGCAGCAGAAGTTAAAATAATAGAAGCTATTATTTTCATATATATTCTTTAATAAGTATCAATTTATCATAAAGCTGTGGAATAAGTGCAATGATAGCCAACATACCAATGGAGTTTTCATGAACTTAAGCTGATTCTCAGATACGTGTGGGAGAACAGAATGCCAAGAATAATGTGTGTAGGACTGTGTAGATCTTGCCCTGTTAGATATTAAGATAAAGCCAGAGTAATTTAGATAGTAGAAAAATAAAAATAGATCACTGCATCCTAAAAAAAATCAAGTTTAGATAAAGTAAGACCTAAATGTGAAAATGAAATATAATTTTTAGAAAATAGTACTTAAGTCTGATACCAGTGGCTCACACCTGTAATCCTAGCTACCTAGTAGACTTAGATCTGAGAATTAAGGTTTAAAGCCGGCCTGGGAAGACAAATCCATGAGGCTCTAATCTTCAAAGAGTCAAAACATGGCTTCTGTGGTAGAATCCCAGCTATGAGCAGAAAAGTAAACACAAGCTCTAGCATTGGTATAAAAATAAAGGGAAAGGAAGGAAGGAAGGATGGAAGGAAGGAAAGAAGGAAGGAAGGAAGAAGGAAGGATAAAGCAAGCATATGAGATTATTTTACAACCTTGGAATAGGGAAGAATTTCTTAAAGAAGATACAAAAAAGTACAAACAAGTTTTTAATTTATAAATTTGGCTATATTAAATA